GGGCAGTAGCCTTGGGCAAGGGATCCAGACGGGTGGCCTGGCAGTGACTCTGGGCAGGGGACCCAGACGCGTGGCCTGGGCGCAGGACCTGGGCAGGTGCCGCCTCCCGCACCTGGGTTTCCACCTGCCGCGGGCGGATGGAAGCAGCGCTTTCTGTACACACAGGAGACAGCGGCTGCTGGTGGTTATTTTGCCACAAAAAAGCAAACACACAATCTGTCTTCCGTGAAGGGGGCAGGGGCAGCTGCTGTGACACCCTTCCCGGCCCTCTTTGCTGCTGCCGCTAACTAGCGTTCGGTGTCCCGGCAAAGAGCGCTGTCCGCACCGCTGGGCCGGGAGCCGTTCCTTCCAGGGGTGCAGAGTGGTGAGCTGCCCCGTGCATGAAGCCTAGGGCCGGGGCGACCAGCAGCCCCCGGAGGACGGGGGAACAGATCACTCAGACACAGTCGGACTGTGCAGGAGAGGCCTCAGGGGCCCTGGCTCTAGTGGCCAGAGCCGCCTCCCTCGCCTGCCTGTTAGGCCTTCATTGGAATTCCTATCTTTAGATGCCATCAGCAGGGTGAGTGATCTCTGGAGGACACATGCGTCTACATTGTCCTCTAGGCAAGGGCATCCAGGGGTTCAGCATAAGGATTCCAGTAAACTCCCGGGGGTCTGCACGGGTCTGCAGGTGCACAGGCTTGTTGGAAAGGTCAAGGATAGGGGTGCCGCCTTGGACACTCCCCCAAGTCTCCCCTGAGTCGGAATTCCGATGCACAGGGCAGGTGCCTCCCACACACTCCCTTTTACGGAATGTCCTCCCCACCACTCTCCAACCAAGTCTCCTGTGCGCCCCAGCAGCTCAGGTTTTGAAAGATGCCAGGAAGACCAGGGTGTGACCTCAGAATCGGGGGGTGGGGGTCAGGTGGGTGTTGGAAGGTAGTTGTCATTGGAAAGCCATTCAGAGAGAGTCGTGCCTTCTAAACAGTTTTTTTAGTTCCATGTACCCTCTGTTGACTGGCACCTCATGGCTCTCTTTCTAACATCCCTTTATTCTTGTCCAGGTCTCTGAAGACATTACATGGTTGCCTTCTTTACAGAGGTTTTATTCAAAGTTATAGAAAATAGCATTCAGCTACAAAATGCAACGTATTCTTTAGCTTAAATGGCTCTCCAGAAACCTGGGTACATTTTTTAAAGTGCCCCCTACTCCCACAAATTAGTTTTTGTTTTTTTAAAATCATTTATGGAAATTCCAGTGAGTTATAAAGAGGAAAATTATATTTCCTTGCTTAATTTTGCTACTTCTTTGATTTTTACACTCTGGTTGAGTATTGTGAGACACATGAAAGTCATGTTAGTGGAATACTGTTCTTCAAACTCGATCTTAGCCCTGGCCGGTGTGGGTCAGTTGGTTGGCGTGGTTCTGTGCACTGCAAGGTTGCTGTTCGATTCCTGGTCGGGGCACATGCCTGGGTTTTGGGCTGGATTCCCCTTAGGGGTGTGCAGGAGGCAGCCCATCCATGTTCCTCTCTCACATCGACGTTTCTCTCTCTCCTCCCTTCCTCTCTCTCTAAAAAGAAATAAAAACCCATTAAAAATGTTTAAAAAAACAACCCTCTATCTTAACTACTGGCGAAGGTTAGGTCCATGTTGCCATTTTTAATATCTTGCAACAGATTTAATACTATTTTTTCCAAGAGTTGGTACAAATATTCCACCTCCTAGGGAATTCATTGTAACTGACACAGTATTCAAAGCTACAACGTGAAAAAGTTAGCACTGTGACACATATTTGTTCTAATCTGCAATAGCCCTCCTCCTCCCTTTTTATTTTTAAATATATATTTTTATTGATTTCAGAGCGACATGAAGAGAGAGGGAGAGAGAGAGAAACATCAACGATGAGAGAGAATCATGGATCGGCTGCCTCCTGCACGCCCCCTACTGGGGATCGAGCCCGAAACCCAGGCAGGTACCCTTGACCAGAATCGAACCTGGGACCCTTGAGTCCGCAGGCCGACACTCTATCCACTGAGCGAAGCCAGCTACGGCTCCTCCTCCCTTTTCTACGGAAAACGCGTGTGACTTTTTTTTTTCTTAATGGATGTTCATAAAACACAAACCAGTCATCTAGTTTGACCTTGATAAGTACAAAAAGGAAGTAATTAGCAGTTAGAAATGGGTTCCTGACGTTTACACTGTCATGTCCTCTACAGTCAGCAGAGTATACTCAGACAGAAATCATTTCTTAGATACGGATGCTGACATGGACACAGAGACTGTATCTTTCAGGAAGCAGTGTTGACACGCGCAGTTTTATAGTCAGGACCCGGAGTAAGTGCCCTCCGTACTGTCACCACGACCACCCACGTCCCGTCATTTCTGGTCCCCACACGTGTGGGCTTTCCCCACCGAGCACTTCCGTGGCACCAGCTGGCCAGGCCGTCCTGCCACTTAACTCAGTTCTGTCCTTTCTCCCCGGAGGCAGCCTCAGATCCCCAGGTGAAGGGCTCACTCCCATGGGACTGCCACCAGGCGGGGGTGGTAGGTGCCCAGGTGACCCACAGCTTCTGTCCGACTCGGCTGCAGTGGGAGGTTCCCACCACCCCTTCCTCGGGTTCGATTCATTCGCTAGAGCAGCTCACAGGACTGGGGAAACACTGGCTTCCTCACCAGCTCCTTAAAGGCTGTGGTAACGGACACAGGTGGCCAGCCCGCTGAGGAAGGCATAGGGCGCGGTGGGAGGGGCCCGGTGCTGGAGCTCTGTCCCCGTGGATCGGGTGCCACCCTCCCCGCGTGATGTGTTCTCCCACCCGGAGGCTCTCCCGCAGGTCTGATCTGTCCTTCACTCCGTGTGCAGCCCTTCTCCCTCCCCAGGGAGTGGGGTATGGGGCGGAAATTCCAAATGTCTGATGACCTGGTCTCTTGTGACCAGCCCTCACTCAGGGGCCATCCAGGAGGCCCCCTCCCCCGAGTCCCCTGGTAGAACACAAGAGGCCCCTGTCACCCAGGGAGCCACAAGGGTCCCAGGAGCACTGCTGGGACCTGGGGGCAGACAGGGGATAGTTCCTGTTGGCTCACAGTAGGTGAACGGCATTTAGGAAGCGCCCTGACATTTGCAAAATCTAAGACACATATTGACTTCCTGTTGGTGTGGCTCAGACTTAGGTTTAGGACAAAGGGGAGCTGTCATTTCTGTGGTCATTGCCACCAACAGCTGTGAGGCCTGGACCCTGTGCACCCGACAGCTGGTCTGCAGGTGACCAGCAGGCGAGGGGGCAGCTCACGGCAGAGCCTCTCCGGTGCTTTTCCTCCTCACGTCTAGTTCTGTCGTGCCCTTAAGAAAGGAGCGGACAAGCCCTGGCCGGTGTTGCTCAGTGGATAGAGCATCAGCCTTCGGACTGAAGGGTCCCAGGTTCGATTCTGGTCAAGGGCACATGCCTGGATGTGGGCTCGATCCCCAGTGTGGAGCGTGCAGGAGGCAGCCGACCCATGATTCTCTGTCATCATTGATGTTCCTTTCCCTCCCACTCCCTTCCTCTCTGAAATCAATAAAAAAAATACATATTATAAAAGAAATAGGAAAGGAGCAGATAATTACTTCAGTAGAGAGTGTTAAAATAATACTTTATGCTGAAATGTAATGGTTTTAACATCTGGTTTGTATATTTCAACTCTGTCTTCTTATTGACTCATTTTCAGAATGGGCCGTGTGCTTGGTGGTAAACCTGGAACCTTCTAGATAGAAAACATGTCAGAGAGGAGAGAGGCCGCAGGTTTCCCCACTCGGGCGCCCCTCTGCGGAGGCCCCCCCGGAGCAGGACGTCAGCGCCTCTTTCCCGTGTCTAGGCCTCCTGCGTGCAGTACCGCCTGGTGGTCCGGGAGGTGGGCAGCCTTCAGATCCTCCAGCTGTACAGCTGCCTGGACCAGATCCAGCACGTCGAGTGGTCGGCCGACTCCCTCTTCATCCTGTGCGCCATGTACAAGCGGGGGCTGGTGCAGGTATGCGGCCGGGCGCCGTCCCGGGTGAGCCCTGCAGACCCCTCGCTGCCCTCTGCCCTTCTGGCTTGAGAAAAAGGCCCCTCAGAGCCGCTCCCTGTGCAAACTGGTAGTTCTCTCAGTTCAAGTCCTTCCAAATGGGAAACACTTCGGTATGCTTTTTTTTTTTTCCCGAAGATTTACCTTTATTGTTGAAAGTACTGCAGAGTCCCCTTTGTTTGCTGTTTTCCCATTGACCTCGCCACCCCGCCCCGCCCCTCCCTGCACTTAAATGTTCCTCACCTGGAACCGAATAGCCGTTGGGCTGCAGGCAGAGCGTGCAGACCAGAGCGAGCAGCTGGGGCGTGGGCCTTTGGGAAGCCCTGAGACGAGGCTTTGTTTGGGAGCTTGGCCAGTGCGGCATTAATGACCCCTTCCTTCACCCCCAGAAGGTGTGCCCGCCGGCCCAGCGTGGACCGCAGTGGTTTTAGGGTCAGTGCTGCCCTGGTTGGTTTGTGATCCGAGTCTCTCCTGGGCCAGGTGTGGTCGCTGGAGCAGCCCGAGTGGCACTGCAGGATCGACGAGGGCTCCGCGGGGCTGGTGGCCTCCTGCTGGAGCCCCGACGGGCGCCACATCCTCAACACCACCGAGTTCCACGTGAGTGGCCCCTGCCCCTGCCCCGCACAGCGCGCTCGGACATGAGCCCTGAACTCCCTCGGGGACTTTGGGGGGTTATTTATGCCAGTCGTCGGAGCACAGCAAGCCCCTAAGTGGTGATATTTAATCTTCTTGCCCAGTTTTAAAGGAAAATGAACACATTTTTAAAAAGTAAACCCTAAGTCACATTTTAAGGCTTTAAACTTAACAATAGAGAATGTGCATCAGTATAAACTGATTTACATCTTTCCGAGGGGGTGTCTGACCTGGTGTTGGTGACCGCATCATTGGTTTGTTCTTCGAACACCCCGCTGGCGGTTCTGTGCCGGGTGCCCGGGGTCTGCGTGCATTTTGGAGACAGAAAATCCCGCTCCTGCGCTTTTCTGAGGCGGCCTTAGGCCCCAGTGCAGTCTGCGGGTGGGGCTGCGGGGCGGCGTGGCGCCGGCTCCAGGCTCGGCCAAGCTGACCGCACGCACATGGGGCGGGCACACTGATTCCAGCGACCCTCGGGGTTCACTCGGCTTTTTCAAGGGCCCCTCTGGGTAGACCCTCTGTCCAGCTGTGAGGAGCTGCTTCAGGCCGCTCTGGCTTCGTGGATTTGTCGGTCAGACCCTGGGACCTGGGCCTGCTGCTGTGATGTCGGAAATCGGGGAGCCCCTTCCCCTCTGGGTGCTGGGGGGGTCCGTACGATACCTTGAGGAACAGAGTTTTCTGAGACTCGCGTGGAGGTGAGTGATTTTTATTTGTGTGGAAATAAATCCACAGTCCGGCTCCAGTCCTGGGGGAAGTGTAGCTGCAGGCAAGGCCGGTGTCCCCCTTCTGTCCCGTGTCGCAGCCGGTCCAGGCATGAGCGGCCGCAGTCCCTCAGCGCAGCGTGGGGTCCACATGGCCGTGAGCCGCGTGGGGAGATGCCAGGAGCGGAGCGAGGGAGCCCGGCCTCCAGGAGCCGAGGGAGCGAGCGCCTCTGCTCAGGTTAATGTCCCAGGCTCCGCGCCCTCAGTCGCCACGCCCAGTCTGGCCAGTGACCTGCTCCCGGCCGTGACTGACAAGCGGGCACCTTCCTGGCATCGCCGGCTTGACCGGGCAGGTGTTCTGTGTCCCCGTCCAGTCCCTCCGCCCAGCCACCTGCAGGGAGGGACCGCGGCTCCCGGGAGTGCTCACCCGCAGCGTCCTGGTGAAGCTGCCGGAACGACCTGCTGTCAGAGTGGCCTTCCCTCTGCTCCTCCCTGTTGTTACTGACTCGCCAGCCATACGGGCAGTTGGGGGTGAGGTGGGAAGCACGGCTCCTGGTCTCGGCCCCGGACACGCTGACACGTTAGAGGCGCTCGTCTCCGGTTTCAGACGTGATCCCTGGAGCTCTTCATGCTGCTGCGGGCACAGTCCTCGCACTCGGCTCCCTGGGCCGGAATTCGCCTCCAGCGGGAGGTGGCGGCCCCTCTGCAGGGCAGCGTGAAGGAGGGCTTTGCCCCTCGGACCAGCCTCCGTGAGCAGGGACACAGGAGCCATTCGCTCCGTCACGAGCCAGCGCCCCCCCAGCCAGCGCCCCCCCCAGCCAGCGCCCCCCCCAGCCAGTGCTCCCGGCTGCTGCATGTCTTGTGACTCAGTCCTCGCGCTCCTTGAGGGGCGTGTGTGTATCTGTGTGCCCACATGTGTGGTTGTATGTGTGAGTGTATATCTGTGTGCCCATACATGTGGTTGTGTGCATATGTGCCCACATATGTGGTTGTATGTGAGTGTGTATCCGTGTGCCCATATATGTGGTTGAATGTGTGTATCTGTGCCCATATGTGTGGTTGTGAGTGTGTGTCTCTGTGCCCATACGTGTGGTTGTGTGTGTATCTGTGTGCCCATACATGTGGTTGTATGTGTATCTGATTGCCCATACCTGTGGTTGTATATGTGTGTGTGTGTCAACACTGCACTGTGGGTTTGCACCTGTTTCAGGTCCGTTTGCATGACTTTGTTCTCTGTCCGAGGTCCTTGCTCCCCCGCTGCATGTTTCTGGGACCCCCCCATGTGGAAGGCATGGCTGGTCCCTGCATTCCTTGTGGGGAACCCCCCACTTCATTGCTGTCCTACCTTTGCCGAGCATTTGAGGTGTTGAGACCCATGTAGCTGGGAGTCCGTTGTGTCTCCTGCGACCCGTGTGAGTCGTCCTCTAGGATGGGCCTGTGGGTGGCCTGGCGGTGGGAGGCGGTGGGAGGCGGCGCAGAGCGACCGCCCGCCCGCCCCATGCGGCTGCGTGGGCTGCACTTGGGCTTTGGTCTCCACTTCTCTGCCTATTGGTGAGGTGAGTGCTTTCCCGCCTGGTTTTTAGACACACGCACGCTCACTCACACACACACACACACACGCACTCACACATGCACACACTCGCACACACACACACTCACACCCACGCACTCACACATGCACACACTCACACACACACGCACATGCATGCACTCACACACACTCGTACACACGCACTCACACACGCACACACTCGCTCGTGCACTCACAGACGCGCACTCACAGGTACTCACACACTCACACACACAGTTTACACATGTGCCTCAGGGTCATGTGTTTAGAAACATAAATGACAGAATCATGGACCGGCTGCCTGCTGCACGCCCCCCACTGGGGATCGAGCCCGCAACCTGGGCAGGTGCCCCATGGGAATCAAACCACAATCTCCTGGTTCACAGGTCGATGCTCAACCACTGAGCCACACCGGCCAGGCACACGGTCCTTTTTCTTTTGTGGTTTGTGTAGTCGGGTCTCTGTTCACCACGGCCCGGCCCAGCTGGGGCTCCTCCCTGTGCACCTGGCAGGCGGCTGCAGCTGCGGCTCAGCTCTCACAGACGGGAGGGCAGGGAGAGCCTTCCACAGAGAAGTGGAGCGGTGCTGGTCGGGGCGGCTGCTCTCAGGCTCCAGAGGGGATGGGCGCGGTGGAGGGGGGCTGAGAGCCTCAGAGTCGGATGCAGATGCGCTGGTTTGAGTGAAAGGCCACGGCTCTCGTCCCGACCCGAGGTCGTCCTCCTAAGCACAGGGGCCTGCCGCCCCCCGCCCGCCACACAGGTTCTCGGTCCTTCTGCACCTGCTGGTGAGGGAGGGCGGGGACGTGGACGGGTTGCCTCAGTGGTTTCTCGGGGACCCTGGGCAGAAGCAGCGGGTCAGCGTTTCAGGACACAGCCTCCTGCCTGGAGCTGGGCCACCGCTCCAGCGTCCCAGGCGCCAGGAGCAGCCAGGCCGACTCCATGAAGCGAGGAGGCCCGCGTCCCGAGTGCTTCCCCACAGGACGCTGCTCCTCAGACCAGGGATCTGCATGACAATATGCCAGCCGCCACGCAGAACCTACCTGCCCCGCATGAACATCGACATTCGTGCATTATTCATTTCACTCTCTGTCACTCACATGGCATTGCTGCAAAGTGAAAACAGTGGAGAGGGTGGCTGGAGGGCAGTGGGAGGTGAGCGTGGTGCCCACCAAGGACCAGGGCGAGGGCCAGGGCCAGCCCTGCCCCGAGACCGTTCCCACTGCGGCCTGGCTCAGCTCAGTGCCGCCTCCCCCAGGGCTCGGACGCTCTCTCTGGAAATGTAACGTGTGCTCCTCCCCCTCCTCCGACAGCTGCGGATCACGGTCTGGTCCTTGTGCACAAAGTCCGTCTCGTACATCAAGTACCCGAAGGCCTGTCAGCAGGGTGAGTGCGCAGACCACGGGGTCCAGGCCTCGGGCGCTGCTTTGGGTCCTTTGCTCTTTTTATCGGGAAATTTCAGCCACAGGCCGCAGTGCCTCCGCCGCAGTGTGTCGGCCCCCAGCCGCTCTGTCTGCTCGTGCCCCCCTCCCGGGTCATGTTACCTCCCCCGGGCCCCCCGGTTACCTCATCTCCCCTCGGGTTGTTCTAGAGCCTGTCCACCTCTGAATGTCCGTCTGTGAAGGAATATTTCCCGCGCCTCCAAAGACAAGGACCCCTTCAAATGCCCCAGGGGCTGAGGAGGCCTGTGTAAGGGCATCAGAGGCGAGGCGTTCCGTGGCCGGCCCTTCCCTGTCTCAGGGCTGAGGGGCCCCACTTCACGCCTCGAATTCTGAACCTTGAATCTCAGTCTTCTGTTGACTCAGTTTGTGGTCTCTGTCCAGGGACATGGTGACCTGCCCCATCTGGACATCCCAGAGGAGGGCTGAGGGGCGGTGTCCCCTGGCCATGGGGAGGGCGGGGCAGACGCACCTGTGCTGAGGTGGGTGGGCCATGAGGCTGGGTGGGCGTCCTGCTCAATGCAGCTACAGTGACGCGTCCTCCATGTGGCCAGGGGGAGGCGTTGCATATTGAGTGGTTCAACCCTTTGCTCTGTGGCCTCGGCAGTTTGGAGCTTGCGTTTGGATGAGGGGCGGTGGTACATTTGACATTTACTTCTGGTTTGAAAGCGGGTGTCTCCCGAGGCCGCGTGAACACTTCCCGCGTGGACACGACCCTCCGACTCAGGCCACAGGAAGTGTGACCTGCGCGTTGTCAGCTCGTTCCGACAGGAAATGCGGTGTAACATTTCCAGAGTCTTATCTCGAAGCTCCTTCTTCCAAAGAATTAGGTTCAGAAGTAACAGTAGAAGCGTAGGGACAGGCTGATCCCGATGGCCGAGAGCCCTGTGGTCTGTGTCCTGACGCCAGGACAGCCCGGGGCTGCGTGTGCAGCCACCGGGTCCTCGGGCCAGGCTGCCTCGTCTTCACGGGCTCCCAGCAGGTGTGCGCCCGCAGGAGCTGGACCGCACTGCCCTCGCCCCCGCGTTGCCGTGTCTATCTGGGCTGCACCCCCTTCTTCCTTGAAAACCACCCTGGCCTGCCTTCGGTCTGGCCTTGATTCCGCCCGTTCCTCTTGCTGGCAGGAATCACCTTTTCCCGGGATGGCCGCTACCTGGCCTTGGCCGAGAGGCGGGACTGCAAGGACTACGTCAGCATCTTCGTCTGCAGCGACTGGCAGCTGCTGCGGGTGAGCACGCCTCCCGCGGGACCGCTGTCCTCGCCGTGTGGCAGGGAGCGGGTGTGCCTGTCCTCAGGCTCTCGGGCCTGCGGGGTCCTGTGGGAAACGGGACTCCCATCTCCGAGGGCAGGTGCTCCCTGCGACTCCACAGAGAGCCCACAGGTGAAGCGTGTGAGCCATGGTGGGATGGTGCGGGCCGGGGTGCGCTGAGGGATTGCCGGCCGACGGGAGCCCTGCCCCTTCCGGCCAGTCCATGGCATGTGGCGCCTCGTCAGGCGGAGTGTGGACTTGAACCTGACTCGGACTCTCCAGGGCCCGGGGCTCGGAGGTGCCCCCGGCTGCAGGTGGGAGACAGGCAGGCTGGGCACAGAACCCTCTGGAACGCTGTCAGAGCTCAGGGAGGGCTCAGCAGCCCGCCGCCAGGAGAGGAGCAGGCCGGGAGAGCGTGCACAGGTGGGAGCCACACCCGAAGCCGGCAGTGCCTGCCGGGCAGCCAGGCTGCGCCCCCGAACCTCCGGACTCTCAGGCGCATGACGACCGGGAAGGACACGTGGTAGCCTTCCACCCATTGCTGTCTAAGGAAAGTGCACACGGGACGCATTAGCAACATTGGCTGTACAAGCACACGTCCGCTCCGACGTAACCTGCTTCTCCCCTTCCTGTGGCAGCACTTCGACACGGACACCCAGGACCTCGCCGGCATCGAGTGGGCGCCCAACGGCTGCGTGCTGGCGGCGTGGGACACCTGCCTGGAGGTGGGAGGTGCTTTGCCGCGTTCATCCTCGCTTCCTCGGCTGCGGCGCCGTTGACAGCCGATCCCGTCCGCACACCTCACCGCTGTCTAGCGACCACCTCTCCCAGCTACCGCCCCGGGTCCCTGTGCCGTGGGCGGAGTCTGGCCCCGCTCGTCCTCGCCTCCCGTCTGTGCACTTGTGCTCGCCCGGCTTAGTGGGGGCTCAGCTAACGGCGCCCTCTCTCTTGCAGTACAAGGTCCTGCTCTACTCCCTGGACGGCCGGCTGCTGGCCACGTACTGCGCGTACGAGTGGTCCCTGGGCATCAAGTCGGTGGCCTGGAGCCCCAGCAGTCAGTTCCTGGCGGTCGGCAGCTACGACGGGAAGGTGGGCAGGGCGTCCGCCGTAGGGAGCCCAAGGACGGCCCGGGTGGCAGGGGTCCCCACGCAGTGCGTCTCATTCGTGGCCCTCCCTCAGGTGCGCATCCTCAACCACGTGACCTGGAAGATGCTCACCGAGTTTGGGCACCCCGCGGCCATCAGTGACCCGCGAGTGGTAAGTGGCGCCTGTCTCCATGGGAGCGGCGCTGGGAGGCGGTGATGCTGCGATGCAGGGCTCCATCCTGTGGCCAGGGGACCGGGACGGCCACAGACTCGCTGCCAGGCCCTTTTCCTGCCCACACTCCCACGGGGCGCCAGGCGGTGTCCTTGCCCTGCGTCCCCCTAAATGGCTCATCTCTAATCTGCTCCTGCACTGTCCGGCCTCCTGCCCGGTGGAGGGCGAGGCTGGGAGAGCTGGTGTCTCCCAGGGTGGGTGGGGACGCTGCCACCGAGGGACGGGGCAGACACCGGGAACGTGGTGCAGGATGGGGAGGAGTGTGCCAGGCAGCGGGGCGATACTGAGGTGGGAAGGTGCTGGGGGGCGAGGGGCAGTGGGGACACAGAGCCTGGTCTGGGGAGTTCCTCGCCCACAGATGGGGACCTCAGTAAGGGGGCAGGTGTGTGAGGACCTGAGCTGGGGGGGCTGCAGGGACAGTGTGAGGTCAGGTGGCCCCGGAGCTGGGAGGTTCAGTGAAGACGGGAGGGAGCAGGGCTGTGCTGGCGGCTGGGGCGTCTGTGTGTCAGGCAGTCAGCTGTCCCCAGGCCTCGGGGACGTAAGTCGGGGTACTTGCCGCTGCCTGTCAGCCAGGTCACAGGGTCCCTCACTCTGAGCCTGTCACTCCCCAGGGAGGTGCTCACGTTTGCTAACTGGCCGAGCAGATGTGGGGCTGCCCCCATCAGACCTTCGTCCTTAGGGGGCTTTCGGGGCCACACAGAACCCCAGGAGGGAGCAGTGCCCCGTGTCCTGCACCCACAGCGGCAGCACCGCCGTCCCTGTCTTGCAGGTGGTGTACAAGGAAGCGGAGAAGAGCCCGCGGGGGGCGCTGGGCCGGCCCACCTGCCCGCCACCCAGGGCCGCCGAGAGCAAGTGTGAGCCTTTCCTTGTTTGTGGACAGGGGCTCCCTGTCCCGACCTCTTCAGAGGTCCTTCCTCCTGTCCCGGCAGCCGGGGCTCCTTCCCCAGGGGGCGTGGCTTTTGTTGACGGACTGTCAGCCCTGGAGTCCGATTTGACGGCCCCGAGGGCCTTGTTTCAATCAGAGTGGAACTCCCTGGAGGAGCCGAGGGTTGGGAGTGACAGGGGGAAGGGCTGGCGGGCTGTTCTGTGTCCTGGCTGCGGCCTGGGTCTCCTGTGACCTGGCATCAGACACGCTTTAAGTGGAGCCCAGAACGCAGCCCCGGGCTCGGCGAGCGCTGACGGGCAGCCGGGCACACAGCGCGCTGCTCACGCCCTGTCGGCATCTCACGCTTCGGGTCTTGTCTTGCTCTTTCCTTTCGATGATCTTTTTAGAAGCTTAGGGGAGGCACAGGTTCCCCCCCCCCCACATTCTCGGTCCCCCCACGGGGACGTTTGTCACAGTGGGTGACCCTGAATTGACATCAACCTAAAATAGCACATCGTATTGTCACTTCCCTAAACCTGCGTCCCACACGCCTTTTCTCATCTGAGAGTCTAGAGCAAGGCTGTCGAGGGTGGGCAGCAGCGGGCTGTGAGCTGAGGGGCTGGGACTGGGAGGAGCAGGACATGCCAGGACCGCGCTCGGGAGGTGCTGCCCACGGACCTCACGCCAGCGTCCCGCTGGCCCTTCTGTCGGTCAGGTTTTGCTTGATGCTTTCAAGGTCGTGTAACCTCTTCCTCTGTCTAAACCGAGCAGTCGGGGTCAGAGGCTCTGCCTGTGGTGGGCAGGATCGCGGGCCCTGCGGCATCTCCGGGGTGCGTGCGCCGTGCTGAGACGGGTGTCGTGTTCTAGATGAGATCGCCGCGGTGCCGGTGTCCCTGCAGACGCTGAAGCCCGCTGCCGACCGAGCAAACCCGAAGATCGGCGTCGGCGCGCTGGCCTTCAGTCCCGACAGCTACTTCCTGGCCACGAGGAACGGTGAGTGCTGTGCCCGTGGGGCCGGGACACCAGCGGTTTGAAAGGGCGTCAGCTGACAGGCCTGCCTGTGCATCCTCCCCACGCGCTGCCGAAACGCGGGTCCTCCCCAGAGGCTCGGAGCAGGCTGCACGGCCCCTCTGCCCAGTGCCTGCCTGCACGCACTCCGTCCTTGGTGAACAGGAACCCAGGCTCACTACAGCCCTGGCCTCTTCCTGTGAGAAGGGCTTTTACACGTTAGAAGTCATACTTAAAACACCAGAACGTGCCCGTGCGGCCAGTGAGCCTCAGGGAGTGACTAGTGGCCCCTACAGACCTGGGAGCATGAGCCGCCCCCCCCCCCCCCCCCCCCCCCCCCCCCCGCCCAGGGCCCCACATCCACCGCGTCAGGGCCCATGGCAAGGCCGGGTGGGGCTGAAGCAGGCAGCTGGGGGCGGGTTTGACCGGGGACCTGCCCGTCTCCCCTCAGACAACGTCCCGAACGCCGTGTGGGTCTGGGACATGCAGCTGCGGCTTCATAATTTAAGGTTAGATTAAATGCCTTGTGGGTCTGGGACATGCAGAAGCTGCGGCTGTTTGTGGTGCTGGAGCAGCTGGGCCCCGTGCGCTCCTTCCAGTGGGACCCGCAGCAGCCCCGGCTGGCCATCTGCTCGGGAGGCAGCAAGGTGTACCTGTGGTCGCCGGCGGGCTGCGTGTCCGTGCAGGTGCCCGGGGAAGGTGAGCAGGCTCCGGGGCCGAGGCTCTGAGCTCTGGAGAGAGGCCCAGCCGGGTTGAGGTGGTGTGTTTGGGGCTCCAGCTGGGTCACTGCCCTGTCCCTGCACCACAGGCTCCGGGCTGCTCTCCTGGGACCTGGCCTCCCGCTCTAACCCTCGGCCACGTGTCCTCCCCAGGGGACTTCCAGGTGCTCTCTCTGTGCTGGCCTGTCACGGGGGACTCGCTGGCCCTGCTCAGCAAGGACCACTTCTGCCTGTGCTTCCTGGAGACAGAGGACGGGGCTGACGCCCTCGGGCAGCTGGACGACCACACGTAGGACGCGTGGCAGCCGTGGGAAGGGACGCAGACGTGCAGAGCTGTGGGGAGCGGGCTCAGGGCAGCTCTGACCGTGGTCCGTGGAGACAGCTTGCGTTTGTTTCCCTACAGCAAGGCGCTCTTGTAAATATGTAAAGTGTAAAGCTGAATTTTGTAATTTAAATGTTTGCTAATTCATAAAAAGGCTGATGCTGGTTTTCTTGGAGGGTTTGGTCACGGTTTTCTAGGTTCGGTGTCTTAGGGAGTAGCACCGAGTCCCCAGCAGCCGGTTCCCCCGAGACAGACACATGCTGGCTCTGAGCTCCGCTGTCAGAGTCTCAGGCGGACGGCGTGCTCTGGGTGCAGGGGGGAGCCCGGGGCACTGGAGGGTGAGCCACAGAGTGGTGGTCAAGGTCAGTCCACCTGCGGAGTGGGTCCCGCGGGGAGTTTCCGCCCCAGCCGTGGCCCTGAACACACGGTCGGCAGCTGGTCCAGGTGTGTCTGACAGGCCGCCAGGGGAGGAGCCCTGAGAGCCCTCCTCACTGCCTGCCAGTAGGGCCGGCTCCCAGGACGAGAACAGAAGCAGTTTGGGCTTCAAGATGCACTCACAGGAGAGGAACCCTCTCGGTTGTTGCACTTGTTTTAATAACTTCAAAAAAGGAACGACACCCAATCGATTCTCAATGTCTTTACTGTGAGACTGAAAGCAGAGGTTCGGGGCCGGGCCGTGTAGGCAGCCTGCCCAGCGAGAGGCACTGCGTCCGGGTCCCGTCCACCCCAGTCCAGCCACCCAGGACTGGAAGTGAGGAGGGAACCGGCCAGCTAGTGCTGTAGCAACAAGCCTATCAACAAATGTCCCGTCAAAGCCGCAAGCCGGGCCTGCTCGGGGCGGTGGGCTGTGGTCCCCGTGGGGGCGTGCTCCCTGGGCAGGAGGCCAGGCGTGGGTAGGCGAGACCCTGGCGAAGCCTGTATCTGCGTGGGCGCTGCTTCCTGAGAACACGGTTCCTTGTTAAAGTGCTTTCTTTAAGAGCAAACGAAGTGATGCCCTTTTCAGACACGACGAGCGTGACAACACGAACCTAGAGCACAGCAGCCGTCCCAGCGGGCGGACGGCTCGGGGCGTCAACCAAGGAGCGGCCTGCAGGGACTGCAGCTTCTGGGCGAGGAGGTGCCGGTGAACTTCAGATCCGACACCTGCTCACATAGCTGCTGCCCGCCCGCCCGGGAGCTGCCTCCTGCTCACCGCACCAGGCCGCTGGCTGCTTTTGTCTTTAGCTTTAAAACGTGGATCATGTGCCTGAATACACGGCTGGACACAAGTGTAAACTCACTTGTGACGCAGGCACTGTGTGTGGTGCCCCCTGGGGTGACGACTGCCCAGCTCGGCCAGCGGACGCTCCAGTGCAACCACAGCACGTTTATTAACAGGCAGGTGGGGGCGGGGGAAGGAGAGGCCCAAAGGGAGCTCCCGGAGGTGGCAGCGGCCAGCAGGGACAGCTGCATGCAGTCTGCGCCTGTCTAGCGGGTGACCACGTGTCCACACCCACCTCCAGCATACAAGTCATGTGACTGTTGTAACCCCACTCACCCCTACAGGGAAGGACCCGGCTGCAGGGCGAGCTGGCCCCAGGCCTGTGCCAACCCAGCCGCTCTCCGAGGCGCTGCAGCCCTAGAAGCCGATCTTGCCTCTGGTCATGGAATAGCCCAGCTTCGCCTCGTTGTTGATGAAGGACATCAGCCCCACGTAGGTCTCGATGAGGAGCGGCTGCTCCAGGACCAGCACGCTGGTGGCCTGTCCCGGCAGAGGACTCTCTTTCTGGGCTTTTTTGACAGCTTGGATCAGCAGAGACTTGAAGCTCTCCAACTTGAAAGAGAGAAAACAGCTGGTCAGAGTGAGCCAGGGAAGGAAGCCGCTGCCCCTAGCCCGCAGGACATCAGCCCCACGTAGGTCTCGATGAGGAGCGGCTGCTCCAGGACCAGCACGCTGGTGGCCTGTCCCGGCAGAGGACTCTCTTTCTGGGCTTTTTTGACAGCTTGGATCAGCAGAGACTTGAAGCTCTCCAACTTGAAAGAGAGAAAACAGCTGGTCAGAGTGAGCCAGGGAAGGAAGCCGCTGCCCCTAGCCCCTAGCCTGTGCCAGCCCAGCCCAGCCCTCCCCTCCCTGTGGCCTCTGCTTGCCTGCTCAGTGGGGCTCTGGAAGCCTCAGATCACAGCTGTGCTCACTGTGCTGGGCGACAGCCAGGACCCGGAGCCTCGCTCTCCACAGGCCTGAGTGGCTTAGCCACAGCGAGCGACCACCACCAAGCCAGGAAGCAGGCCAGGTGCAGGGCAGGCTAGTGGGCGACCTGCCCAGGCCTCGGCACTGCCCTCACCACTGGCCACGGCCTCCTGTGATGAGCATACGGACTGCCTGGCGCTGCCACAGGCCGGTCAGCTGCCCTGCCCCAAAGCTCTCAGGCCCTTTCCCAAGACAATCTCGGCCACAAGGGCTACCTTAGGAAGTGGGGATGACCAGTGGCTGCCGGTCACATGGGGCTGCTTAACCCTAAGTCAGCTAACACCACTGAGAATTAAGAGCGTGTTTCCTGTCTTGCTACCCACTCCTCAGTGCTCAGCAGCCACGTGTGGCCGCCACAACAGGCAGTGCAGGCCTAGAACCCCGCCACCCCCCGGGGCGGTGCTGCAGCCACGGGCTCTTACTTGGCACAGAGAGGCCGTCTTCTCATCCGCACCCGCCATCGGATGTTCCACGAACGTGGTGTAGGGCACGCTGGTGGACCAGGGGTTCCACCTGTGTATGAAGGAGGGGCGGCTCTGCTTGTCCCACTGAATCCGAATGCCCAGGCCTTCTCGCCTGCGGGGTTAGAGAAACAATCCAACGTCACCAGCAGGCCACGGCCTCCCACGGCAGCGGCTCAGTGATGGGTGTGACGTGGAAAAGCCGGTCGTGGTTGAAGACAAGGCCTGTGGCCTCGGGAGTAAGCAGTCTCCAGAGAGAACGGCTGTTTCCCACCTGGCTGGCCGGGCACGAGACACTCGTGTCTGCACTGACGTTCACTCAAGTAATTTTACGTGCTTTCTGAGACAGTGTTCGGGCTAAGCTAACGACTAACGCAGCAGGCAATGGGACTCCATAGAGGGGCTGACACTTCCTGGTGCCGGCTTAACGCCCGCAGCTCCTCTCTGCTTCCTGAGCTCCCTGCAGCCCTCGCCTTCGGAGCTCAGCAAACTGTGTAACTCGGTGGCCCACACTCCTGCCTGGTTGCTCATATTTTAGGAAACTCGCTCCAGCATGAGGATCAGCTCCTGGTTAAAGCAGTGCCACTGCTGCCTTTGAAAAGCGGGCAGGGCAGACCTGACCCGACCCGCGGGTGTGTTCCTGGTCGGAGTAAAACGCTGTCTGGTCCTTCGCTGTATGTGGAATCCACTTGCCTACAAGCCCAGCAGCGGTTCTGGTGCCAGAATTCCTCTTAGTGCCGCACTGGTTTCTACTCTGAGACTATGGGCTCTGCAGCTGGTGTGAGAAGCGCGGGGCGAGGCCCTGGCGCTGGGCCCCGCTGAGCACTTACTTGTTGAGCGATTTCGGGGGGAACTGGAACCGCCCGCAGGAGATGGTGTCCACGGCCCGGAGGGCAATGCGCACCACCTGCTGGCACTGCAGCGCGATGAAGTCGTACTTGCAGACGAGCAGCGACTGGTCGGTGATGAGCACCAGCCGCTCCTTCTCGTTGTTCCAGTGATCGACCCTGCGGCAGGGCA